TCAGAAAACTATTTATTTCACTCATCCCTTACCTGGTGTTTCCATACTTTTCCTCCATATAGCCAACGTACCAGTCAGGACCTAATAATGGTGTCGATAAACTTGATCGGTAAAAAAAGTACTATTTTACATATTTTGCAGTATTTTGGTGTTGAGCCCAATGAAAGAGGACAGCCCAGAGACACTTTGGTGTGCAGGATCTGTGCTCATGTAAATCGTGCAAAAGATGCTCAGCTTCGCACGTAAATATTTGTGCATATGTGTTACCAGTTCTCCATCTGAACGTGTGTTCAGCAAAGCGGGTAAGGGTGTTACTCCACTCCGCAGCCCATTAAAGCCAGAAAAAGTGAACATGTTAGTATTTCTTGCCAGAAAACTTGACACTTAATTTTGTGTTGAAATGAAAATGAAAATTTCTGCCGATGAGCCTTGACGATAGTGTGGCGTGTTTACTATGTGCGCCGTGAGGTATTTTGAGATCTGTAAAACATATAACAAACTTGCTATTTGCAGTAGTTTTAAAGCACAAGTGATGTGAGGAGGCGTAAAACAACACTCGTTCAACACTACAAATACGATTACGCGTCTTAAGAGCCGTCATCCTGAGTAGCAACAAGACTTTGAAAAGTTAGAAGGAAAAAACGCCGGCAAGAACCCATCAGCTGCATCTACTTCAGTGACAAAGCTAGAAAATACAACAGCGAGCACCTAAAGGTAAAAGAGCTTAACGACAAAAACATTGAATTTATTGCTCTTAATAACCAGCCGTTCAGCGTGGTGGAAGATGTTGTCTTCAGCAGGCTAATGATGTAGCTATAGCCGCGTTAATGCTATTAGCCGTCACTACTGATGTGGCATTACCTGAACTCCAGAGTGTTGTCGCCAGTCACATTGAAAAGCTTCTCGCCGGCGCTAGTCACATTAGCTAGTCACATTATCTTTACCAGTCCTGTTAGCATGTTGAGCCTCACTGCCCAGTGGATAGAGGAAGACTTTACCCTTAATAAAGCTGTCACCTGCTGTGCAACAACAGGAGTGCTCCGGTTCTCACACAGCAGTTCAAATTGAATCTGCATTTGATAATATGTTTAGGACATGGAAAATAGTAGGAGAACGAGTGCATGTGACGCTACGTGAATTACGTAAGTTATTTGAAAATGTATTTTTATTTATTTTACTCCTAAGGCCTGATGTTTGAAGTCTGAACTTAAAAATAAAATGTGGCACTGGCATATCATTTATTCTTCTACAAGTGAAATAATTAACTTATTTTTCAGGGGTGACTGTCTGTCACATGAGTGTAGTAAGGTAAAGGTAGTACAGGAGTGAGATTTGATATTTCTCTTCAGTAAAATTAAAGTGTATATATATCGGCATCGGCCAAAACGGGTTTAAAATTATTGCCATATTGAATATCGGCCAAAATCGAATATTGCACATCCCTATGAGGAAAGTGGCATGTAATGTCAGCCCCCATTTGCTGGAGGGCTGAGAGGCCGAGAATGACATATTTGCTGTTTAACACTACCTTTGTGACAAAATCATCGTTTCAAAATCATAATTCACAACAAAATCTTTTTTTCTACACTATAACTTAAGCTAAAAAGTTCCCTTCAGTGTGTACTATATAATCAGACTGTTTTCCATCTGTAAAAAGTTAGTTTTAGCATACTTGTATTTAAATATTTGCCAATTGGATGAAAACCTAGCTAATTAAATCTTTTCTGCACATCACTATAGCAACAGATTCTGTCCATCCTTTGTCGTGAAAGGGGAATCCTGTATTGAATGTTAATTTGTTCATTATCCAGGTGAATTGATTTTCTGCTAAGGTTCAAGTGAAATAATGATTAATAATCAGTATTTGGGAGAGTCTGGTAGCGTCACAATGCCTGATGATATTAGGGGAAAGACCAAGGCGCAGTATGAGAGGGAAGGAGGAAGAGAGAGAGGCTCTGTTTACTGGAGGGGGATGGGAAGAGAGGCTAGAAAATCTACAACTGCCTCAGTCATGTGATAATTTTGAAATCTGTCCGGTGAATAGCTTGTTGTCTAAGAAGAAATCCTTGACTGTTGCCTTTTGCTAACATTTCTGTAGCTGGACTTTGCCAGCATTGGCTCTGAAACATTGGAAACTTCTTTACTAAATGATAGGCTATCCATGTTGGTTAACTGCGTTTTATGGATATCAAAATTAGAACAAACACACACACACACACACACACTAAGTAACGGAAGTTATCGACAATTTTTTTTTGTCCGCTGTGAATTTTCAAATATATGCTAACTAGTGCTTCATTCTGAACAAGTGATGTCAATGCATCTCCTGTTATGCATGCCAGGTTTGTTGTCTTAATTCCCCTTTTCTCCCGATATGCCTAACTTAATGGTGTGCATGTGATTCCATTTCCCACAGCGTCAACCCATGCATGACAGTTAATGTCTCATGACTGTCTGCAAATTGACAGACAGACTGAAAGTCGTTTTGTCAAACGTTTTTATTTTATTCCACAGGGTTGCCTGTCATATTAAGGTCAATATGAAAAACTGCCTATATAAAAATACTTCTGTCAGTTATATAAGCATGTCATTTCTGCAAGAATATGTTTGCATATGGGGTTGGGATGAACGATTTTTAAATTTTTTAAAAATAAATTTTGAGTGCTTTTACATCATATAAGGAATATCTAACTGTTCCTTATATCAGGAATGAATGTTTCTTCTTGCCAATGAACAACAACAACACGTTTTCAACAATAATATGGTATAAAGGACAAGTATATGTGCTTATGAGCCTGTGTCCTAAATCCTAAAGAACCATCACTGTTCGTAGCATATATTATTATTGACTTCACAGGGTGGTAAACGAGGTCTAATCATAGTGACATGATGATTGGCGCTAGGCTGTTTACAAATACAACTAATCTTGCTCATATCCATAATAGTGTAATTTTGGCCATCCCACTTCACTGTATCTGCAAGCTGTTGGCAAGAGCAGGGGCTGATACAACAGTGTGCCATTCACCCAAGCAGCATTCTTGTATTGATAATTCTATTATTTTAATATTATTACATTTGAAAAGTAATTTCAGGTGGTTTGGGTGTTGTTGAAGACTTAAAGCCTAGAAATGCCCAATAGGCTAGATAAAGATCTCTGAAAATGACATCCCTAAGCCATGCGTTTATTGTTTTCTGTATGCTTCTCTACACGTACCTCCCAAAACAAGATGTAAGCTAAATATATTCATTTGAAGGACCATGTGACAAGCGGTATGAAGTCCTCTGAGGTTTCGGTATCATTGTGCTGACATCCCTGCGAAGTATTCAGAGCAGCATCTGGGATATTAATGGAACATCCATTCCAAACCTCTTTAATGGCTGTCTGCCTATCGCGGAGTGTGATACTAAATCCATACCAAATTCCCTCCTGACACATTTGGGTGGAAGGCAGACTTGCAGACTATGTTTCAGGTGGTTTAACGAGGCCGATACACAAATGACTTTTCCACATGAATGTGGTCGACAGTGCAAATGTTTATTTGGCACCGGGTTGGTACAACAGCTGAATGGCTTATGAAATGTCACAAAGAGAATACACACACTGAGAGCCCAGAATCACTGCTAATCCCTTTAACCTGCATCCCAAGCAGCAGTAGCTACTGAGGGCTGAGGAGCAAATATGAATCGGCTCCTTTCTGCTCAGGCCGCTCCCCAGTTTATCGTCCGCCTTGTTTATTTCATTGCGTTTAACATTCAGTGTGTGGGTGGTGTGGCCGGCACAACACATGCTGTTAGACTTGGATTAGTCTAATTTATGCTCTACGTCTGTTGCCGCTGCTAGCAAAGAGTTACGAACAGGCCTGCCACCAGACACAAGCACATCACCAAAAAGCTTGTACTTTTATTGCCATCTAGATCATATTTTGTGTAGTCCATTTTAGATTTGTAGGGTTCGTTCCAGTGGGAAAATAAAACCTCTCGTTTGGTGTGATACTGTTTGTGGAAAAGTACGTTTTCCCCCCCTTGGCAAGTTGTCTTGATTTTCTCAGTGCAAATTTTTTACTTTACTTCAACTCGATGGACAGCTAAAGATAACCTTATTTAAAATGCACTCAAGGATTATACCTTTAATAATGTATTTATCAAAAATCTACTAGCTTTATTAGCTGCTTGTGTTGCCTTGTTTGGCTGAAATAGCCTTTTCAGTCTATCGCTCTTACATCAACATTATTGCTGACTGCTCTTTACTGCACTGCTTCAACTTTGTCATGTTCGAGGGATTTCTTGCATGCACTGCCCGCTTCAAGTCCCCTCCCCAGAGGATTTATTTAGGATTGTGACCTGGGTTTTCACCTGCCCATCCAAAACCCTCCATTTTGTCTTTTTGAGCCATTCCATTGTACCCTTTCTTGTGTGATTTGGATCATTGTCCTGTTTTAAGATACATGTTTTGTTCAACCTTAGCTTTTTGACAGATGGCCTCACATTCCCCTTTAAGATTTCTCTGGTACATTATGGTATTTATGGTTGACCCAATGATGACAGTTGGTCAGGCCCGAGGCAGCAAAGCAGCTCCCAACCATAATGCCTTCATTCTTTGCGGTTCGTATGAGGTTATTCTGTTCAAAAGCAGTGCTTTTTTTTGCCAAACATGGCATCTGGCATTTTGGGCAAACATCTCCACAATTGACTCATCTGTCCAGAACACATTGTTTTAGTTATTTTGGTCTTTCCCTAGGTGTTGTCTCGCAAACGTTAGTTCTGTCTTGATATTTTCTTTTAGAGTATGTTTAGATTGAATTGTTTTGAAATTACTTTGTGACCCCTCCCAGACTAATGATGGGTAACAAAGATTGTTCTTCTGGGGCCTTTGGATGGGTCTTTTGATTTGGCATGTTGTAACACCATGTACCGACATGTTTAAGAACCAGCCCAGTATGACTCAATGGTGATTTTCATATAATTTGGAACTTTTTATGAGCACATTATTTGCTTAAGGAGCAGTTGGTAGCTCAGTGGTAGAGTGCATGCTTTGTGTGTATGACGTCCAGGGTTTGGCTTCCCAGGTCGCCATTGCAAATGAGAAATAGTTCTCAATCGGCCTATCTGGTTAAATAAAGGTTAAAAAAAGGAATATACCATGTAAATGGTAAATATATGCATTTATGTATTTGTTAAATTTGGTTACTTTTTTGGGTTGAAGTCTATTTGCATGGCACATCTTGAAAAATCTGTCAGATTGAGAGGCCATCTCATTTGCACAGCCTTCTTCAGATCAACCCACATATGTTTAATTGCATTCAGGTCTGGGCTCTGGCTGGGCCATTCCAAAACGTTAATCTTTTTCTGGTGAAGTCATGCTTTTGTGAATTTGGATGTGTGCTTTGGGGTCAGTGTCATGCAGAAAGGTGAACTTCATCTTCAGCTTTCTAATGGATTTTTTTACCAATATTACCTGGTATTTTTGAACTGTTCATTATTTCCTTCCACCCTGACTAAGACCCGGTTCCAGCTGAAGAAAGGCAGCCCCAAAGCATGATGCTGCCACCAGCATGCTTCACTGTGGGTATGGTGTTGTTTGGGTGATATGCAGTGTTGTTTTGGGGCAAATCACCTTTTAATATGGCCATGAAGTTCAACCTTGGTTTCATCAGACCATAACACATTTTCCCACGTGCTTTTGGGAGAATTGATGTTTGTTTTTGCACACTTCAGCTGGGCTTGGATGTTTTTATTCATAAGAAAATGCTTCCCTCTTGCCACCCTACCCCATAGCCCATACATTATACGAGATATTATTGTCTCGTGTAGCACACAGCCAGTGCTTGCCAGACATTCCTCCAGCTCCTTTAATGTTGCTGTAGTTCTCTTGGAAGCTTGGAAATTATTTTGTACCCTTTTCCTGACTGATATATTTCAACAATGAGATTCCTCTGATGCTTTGGAAGCTCTCTGCAGACCATGGCTTTTGCTCTGTGATGCAACTAAGAAAATGTCCGGAAAATCCTCTTGGAAAAGCTGACCTTTATTTTTGATTAGTTAGAGTCACTTTAAATTATGGCAGGTGTGTAATGTAATTAATGTGATTGGTTAATTCTGAACACAGCCACATCCCCATTTATAAGCGCACACTTATGCCACCAAGTTATTGTAAGATTTTTTATTTATTTTTTCCCCTCAAAGATTTCAGGTTGTTTTTCAATTGAATTGTTCAGGTTATAGGTCACATTAAAGGTGGAAAAAGTTCTGACATGATTGATCTTTGTGGGGTGTGTAGACTTTTATATCTACTGTATGTTCTATGTAAAATGATCACTGAACAACTAGCTTATATTAAAGATGACTCTCATTTACATCATTGTCAGATAAGAATGACATTATTTGAAGCCCGTGTAAATTCTGTTCTCTCAGTCGAGCTGTTATGTTGTCAAAACATAGGCAGAACCTTTTACGTTTTTCTTCACATCCAGCACTAATGAATTGAGTCGGCCGTCACCAGTGGAATTCTTCATGAACAGCTGTGCTTTTGGCCCGGCCAAGGCTACTGGAGGGGTGGGCCAGGGGTCGAGTCCATGTGTCACAGCAATGGAACTTCACTAATGCACAGCATTTGAAACCAGGACCAAGGCTGTCACAGCAAACCACCTGGTGAAACTTACTGAGCCAATGACTAACTGAAAGAATAACTCCGTACCTGATGAATAGGTCAGTTATTCGCCATACATATTTGATGGGACGACGTCACTACCTCTCCCCCATCTGCTCCACCTTCCTTTCAGATGTAAAGCAAATTGAGGCTCTAGTGCGTCACTGGGTGATTATTTTTTATTTCCTTTATTTCTCCCCTTATTCTCCAGTCTTGCCCAAGAAGGCTGTGCGTGTTGAGGACAAGGAAATATGTCAGCAGACGCGCTGAATTGCTTAGAAAGGCCACGCATTGTACAGATAAATACTATTGTATTCTCCCTAATAACGTCAATTACCACTCAGAATTTCAGCACGTCCGCGGTGCTTTTAATGCGCACTGAATTTACACAAATCTACTATAGGTTAGTTCTGTATGCAATCCTTTACAATACATTTGTGCTTTGTTTATGTAAAATGTTTTGTAATTAGCCTTCATCAGAATAGAGATAAAAGGATGTCAAAGCTTATTTTATTTTTTTACATTGCACCTCAATGTAAATGGATGTAGCCTCAGTTCTAATGTCACATCTATGTAAACAATCAGGCTGTTTAGTAAATAATAGGAACCATGTTTCAGATTCATATCGAGAACATGTCTTGGTTTACGATGTAGTGCATGGCACATGCAAAATCAGGGTCATGTGGACGATATTCAAGGGTCGTCATACTGGAAATGTACAGTACGCTATTTTAGGCCGTTCTAGAAATAAGTATTTGATAAATGACAAAAGTATGAATGTTAAATGTAGGCTTCTCTGTGTTTTAATTCTGCTTCCCCCAGGTCGTGAATGTAGTCTAATGAACCAGACCAACCCATGACCTCGAAGAAACAATTGAGCACCTTAATGTAGAGCTAGTGATGGGTACATGCCTTTATGCATATCAGTATAACCAGATGGTGATAGTTGGTTCACGTGCCACCACACTCGCACATCAAATCCCAGCTCACCGCAGCCATCCTTGTGATTGAGCTGGAGATAGCTGGAGCACCTGGAGAATAGCTGTTAGGAATCTGAAGATGGCCTCCTCAGCTTCTCAATCTAATCAGATTCAGTGGAGCAACGAGAGCCCCCTTGTTCTCTCCCGGACTCTCGCGTGTGGCATTTGGTCTGGCGTCGGTGCTCTTGATGTTTGCTGAAGCGGCACACTGTGCAGTGTGGGCGCCCCCCCCGATGTAAGTTGTGCTGTGCGGTATTGAGTTGTCCTGGTGTGAGAACTGGGTGGGTGAGTGTGTGTGTGGCTGAGCTGCAGGAGCTCACTGCAGATGATCTGATGTGGGTGAGGAGGGAGGGGAAGGACAGAAGGGTTCGTGCAAAATTAGCTCCCTCACTGCGGTGGAAAGCCCTGCTTAAGACGAGACACCAGCTCAGTTATGTATATTAGCATATTTATTTGTAGATGCCCAGCCGTTGTTCTTATAGTCCATGTGTATGACTGTTAGAGGAGACACAAGCCCACGGGCTAGTTAATTAGCCTGGGGAATATGAGCCATGAAAACAATTGACAATGCTCTGATTCTGTGTGTGTTTATTTGACCAAATGTTCCTTTAATTAAATATGTGCATTGCGCCACAAAAGTGGCCCACTTTGGGTTAAAACCTGAAGTCCTGGACCCTGTGGGTGTACTATGATAACCTGATTACCTGGTACCACTGTGAGCTCTCAATCAAAAAATACAAATGCTTGAAGACAAACTGCGACTCTGTTACGAGCGACATTCCCTTGAGGCTCTTAACACTCCCTGAACAATGATCCTTTCATCCTGCTGCAGTATTCACACCTCATCTGGTTGTGTTTGGAACAGAACACTACACCAACACAACCATTTCCCTCAATTATGTTCTGCACTAATGACACCTCACATTACTATTTCGAAGTTCAATATGACAGGGAGTAGAAGAAACGCTTCATTTTATTATCTAGTGAGAATAAGTATTATAGTGTATGTCAAATTCCAACACGATTCTTCACTGCTACATATGTTACATATAATATAACCTCTATGTTACCTCACTGCTACATATAATATAACCTCTATGTCACCTTACTGTTACATATAATATAACCTCTATGTCACCTCACTGTTACATATAATATAACCTCTATGTCACCTCACTGTTACATATAATATAACCTCTATGTCACCTTACTGTTACATATAATATAACCTCTATGTTACCTCACTGTTACATATAATATAACCTCTATGTCATCTCACTGTTACAAATAATATAACCTCTGTCACCTCACTGTTACATATAATATAACCTCTGTGTCACCTTACTATTACATATAATATAACCCCTTCCTAGCCTGGCATAGGACTTCAGGATGTCTTGGGTGACCAGTGCCTTTTAGCAGCCAGCGAGAAGAAGTGTGTATAGACCTGGAGTATCTGGAGATATTGTGGCTCAGATTGAGCCTTCAGTTGATGGGATTACATGAGCTATCCGGGTCAGGCCAGAGTACCTGAGGCTAAAGCTCTTTTTGAGATGTGGACCTGGGCATAAAGCTGGGCATACTTTATTCTCCAATGGAAAATGATCTGTCATCTGGTAGTAATTTAATACAGAGCTCTTCAAATGCCAAAATTCTGTGAGTGTCGAGGAGAAACGTTAAAGAAGCATACTTGTCAAGTTAATGACAAGATTTATTGTTGAGAAACTATATAGGATGTCTGTAATTTGTGAGTGGTGAACAGGGAGCCTGTTTTGGCATCACAGCTGCATAATTGATCTTCACATGTTTCAATAATTCAGACCATCTCTTATTTACCATGAATAGGGGACGTTAATTATGGGTTAAAGAAAGGCAATTTGAATGTGTGTATCCCGAAAGTACTTTCAACCCTTGTTAACAAAGAAAACAGAACTGTGTTTGTGGAACATCTGTTTTAGCTGTTTTGCTGGCTGAATAAACAGCAAAATTGCGTCTCATTAATGTGGAATAGACTTCCATTGATATAAGATGTAAATCACAGCCACACAAAACTGCAGTGTGTGTCTGCATCTGTGCATCCAAAGCGTAGGCGCACAATAGCACTGGTTGCTCTATTCGTTCAAGAAACAGGAAGGATTAGTTAATGGTGAATGCTGTGTTGAAAGTAGCCTATACATGTAGCCCATAGGCTGTTTTAGTCACATGTTTTTATTCAAATGTTTCCCCCTGGGAGCTACGGTCGCTCTGGACTTCCGCTAACTTGAATTTGACCCTGATCCAAATATTGCCTATGCTATTTTTTTCTAACTTTCAGGAGGGAGTGTTATTTACTGATGAAAATCTGAAGTTAATGTGGGTGTTTACTGGTAATAATTTACCTAAATCCTCATGGGGCTCTTAAATGAATTCAGTAGTTCTCATCTGTTTATGAAATTAGTTCATTTTCCTTTCT